AGAGGTCAAACACGCCGTACGATTTAAAAATAGATCTTCAATCAGATGCGCCTAATCTTGCTCGACGACGATGCCGGTTCCTCTTCCACATTCTCCACGTTTTTCGAAAATGAACGAATCCAGCTTCTTCCTGATGAAAACGGTTGGGGGAGAGGACGCAGATCATATGGAAATTAATTGAAAAAAAAAAGCAAAATTCGGTTGGGGGAGAGGACGCAGATCATATGGAAACTAATTGGGAAAAAAAGCAAAATTTCAGTACGGGAAAAGTGCGCAACAAGTCCTTCGGGACGTCCGTTAAAATTGGAACGATACAGAGAGAGAAGATTAGCATGGCCCTGCGCAAGGATGACACGCATATATCGAGAAATGGTCCGAGTAGAAAAAAAAAAAAAAAAAAAAAAAAAAAAAAAAAAGTGCGCAACAACTTATCACCAGTTCTTCCGTCCCTTCGGCTTCTGGCCTCGCTCCACAAGACAACACTCGGCACGGTTCTGGACGGTTTTCAGACCGTATACATTAAAAATGTTGAGCTCGTCAAAATGCACCTGGTCCATAAAACGTCCAAATGCATGTAGAGCGTTGTGTACTGGAGCGAGGCCCTTCGCTTCATTTCCGAAAGCGACAGAGAAGATTACGACGGGAAAGACGATCTTCGTCTCCTGCACATCATCATAAAATAATAAAATATTTTCGCAATCTTCATTAATAAAGTATTTATTAATCAACTTTCTCCGAAGAGGTTTCTCCTTCTCTTTCCTTTTTTTCTCATAACAAAGTGACAAGAAAGGAAAGTCCACTGTCCAGTTGTTCGCACCGACGAGCTGATCGACGTCAGCAAACCTACCAGCATGCAAACGGGTCGGAAGAACCGACCGCTGAGCATGCCTGGGGGACACACACGGTGCTCTTCAAAACCGAGTACAAAATCCCCCACGTGGACGTGCGGCACGGACAGATACTCTTGACAACAATGCCCCCACGTGGACGCCATGTGACACTGACAGATACACTCTTTGTCTTGCCAACAATGCCCCCACGTGGACGCCACGTGACACTGACAGATACACTCTTTGACAACAAGACCCACAACCAGCCAGATGAACCACGATGATACACTATGCTCAAGGGTGTTGTTCAATTGTTGTTCGGAGTCTAGCACGCTTGATGATGATATAGTTAATGACGTGCGAGTAAAACCCCTAGCTACCTTATTAAATCTTTTTAAGTCTTCTCTCCATGCTCAAAGACATATGGTAAGTTCCCTCAGGCTGGTGGATTATTTCACCCCTTTTGACATTTACGACTGAGAGAGTGCCTATTTGCACACGTGAGACAATGAACGGACGGAGGGAACAGAGTGCAGATCGCACGTCTGCATGAAGAGAGACAACGAAGATGTGAATGCGAGTTATTGACACACACAGTCAACGAACGGAGAGAACACAGAGTGCAGATCGCGGGTTTGCATGAAGAGAGACATCGAAGAGGTGAATGCGAGTTATTGACACACACAGGCAATGAACGGAGAGAACACAGTGCTGATCGCAGGTTTGCATAAAGACAGACATCGAAGATGTATACGAGAGTTATCTCCGACTTTGGCAGGCAATAGCTGCGGCCGCCCTCGTGCCTGGTAAAGCATGGGCTAGCATGGGCTACCGAGGGCCTCGCTCCACAACAGTAATTGGGCGCATGCACAACAGACAAAAAATAAGCCGGCGTATCTTCCCATGGTTTAGCGGAAGATTCATTCGCATTGGTTTAGCGGAAGATTCCTTCGCATTTTGCACATTTGGACATAGTGGAGCGATGCCCCAAATCTGCATTTCCGCCCATTTGTATCGGACCTTACGTATCGCTTATTAACGTGCATATGTACCAACATCGCGTTCAATTCGGTGTCAAAGGACTTGTCTCGCCCCGAGCTCAACGCGGCATCTCCGCCGATTTGAACGCAAGCTGTCCCCCGAATTGAACGCGGGGTCATCCCATTTGGACACGCCTTAAAATCGTCAATTACGAAATATACCAACCCGGCGTCCCCACCCCTATATACCAACCTCGCATTCCCGCGTTGGCATTCATCATATCTGTTTTTCCTCAGTAGAGCTTCACAAAAATGCAAAAACAACCCCGGTCAGTGGTAACCTTACCGTCTTCACCCGAATAGAACGCCCGGTCATTATAGCTGTATCTAGACCGAAAGTTACACCAAATACAGCTATAATGACCGGTCGTTCTATTCGGGTGAAGACGGTAGACGTTTGGTTGAGCGTGCAACTCCTATGAGGGAGGTCGCGTGTACGAATCTTGAGATCGGATCAGGGATGAACAATGAAATGCTACCCATCGATTACGGAGAATGGAAGAATCACGGCAAGGGAATGGCCAAGTCGCTTCCACACACACACGTCTCAATATAACGAAACACATGCATGGCAATCGCGTTCTTCCATGCAGTGCATGCATACGACCCCCAAGTACGACCTAGTTGCTTCCACACACGCGTCTCAATATAACGAAACACATACATTGCAATCGCGTTCTTCAATGCAGTGAATTCATACGATCCTCAAGACTCAAGTGTAAGGCAGAGAATACCAAGACGAGCAGCAAAAAACGGAGTACCAAGCTGGGGTTCCCTCTTTCTCGAGAAGGGAGCTAGCGAGCAAAAGATCTCGGGAAGGGGAGAGATTAGGTCTCTTAGGTCTCTTGCTGATCCTTTGTTTACGAAACTCGAAACATTTTACCACGAGAGCTCGGGTCTACTCCTCCATTCAATTTGGTCGATAATACGCACGTAACATAAAATCCCATTGTTCCTTCCTTTCATGCTTCCAATGGTGCGTTCCTTTTTGCTACCGTCTTCACCCCAAGAGAACGACCGGTCATTATAGCTGTATTTGGCGTAACTTTCGGTCTAGATACAACTATACTGACAGGGCGTTCTATTCGGGTGAAGACGGTAGCGATCCAGGACCTCTTCACTTAGAGAGAAATGATATCGAAATTTCAAATTTATGCACGTCCCAGCAATACGACATCGTCATACACACCTTTCTGTGCAATCTCTCTCTCTCTCTCTCTTTCTCTCTCTCTCTCTCTCCACTCAAATGACACCAAATTATTTGAGCGCAACGTACCAGCAATACAACATCGTAATACACCGTTGTCAGGGCACTCTCTCTCTCTCTCTCTCTCCCCACTCCGAAAACCAGTCAATCAACCAATCAATGGACTAATCAATCAAATCTGTCAATCGCTCAATTAAACTTCAAGCAGACTCGAAACAACTGTGCTGTCGCTCATAAACCACAATGATCTCCCAGCGTACCCCGTTCGTGATTTTTCACCGTCCTAAAACGCCGTACACATTCGCGATTTTACGGCACGTTAGCGCTCCCCGATAGACATACAGAAGGCCAGGTCACACTACAGTTCACCCGTGCGTTGAAAAGACGCAAGATCGGCTCTATTTTGCCCCTGCTGCTGCTGCTAGTAGTGCTCCGCTGAGCGAGTCCTCTCCTTCTCTTTTCATTTTTTTGGGTAGGGTCCTCCTCCCTCTGAGCGGGTCCTCTCCTTTTCTTTTCATTTTTTTGGGTAGGGTCCTCCTCCCTCTGAGCGAGTCCTCTCCTTACATCGCGTTCCCATCCGCACATTCACGAATTTGCGGTCCCTTCCCAACAATTAAAAAAAAAAAATAAAAAAAAATTGCGGTCACTAGAGTGCCTGCTGGATTCTTTAACCGACCAAGGTCACGAAATAAGGCGATATAAGACCATTTTCACCCTAGGAACTCTTCTTGGACTAACCCCTGGACGTAATTGCCGTTAGATGCGTCCAGGTCATGAATACTTCCGGTCAAATAGATCTGCTGTGACTCCGCCCTAAGAGCCAGTTTCTACACAATTTTTTATTTTTTTTTTCAAATTTCTATACAATTTCCAGAACTCATGCCGTTCACCATCACTGCTTCGTCCGTCATCAGAAAACTCCGCACACTCACGCTATGGTAAGTCGCACATCTTCCATTCCATTTACAACAGTCGTACATGGGGACAACTATCATGTATGCCAGTCGTACATGGGGCATTCTGCGCTACTGTAGTTGACAACAACCTGGGAGAGGACATCACACGAGGCCTCGTCTGACGTTTCTGGACGTAACTGTGGTCAGATGCGTCCGTCGCTGGCCGTAACTGCGCTGAGATATATCCAGAAGACCTTCCTACTGTAGCGTGCGTATGCCCTACGAGAATACAGGCACGCAGAAGTCCTCTGCTTACCTCTGAGCTGCTGCTACTACCGTCTTCCCCGGCCTCAAACTACAACGCCACCCTCATTTTGGCTGCACGTGACCGGAAAGATCGATTGTAAACATTCAGAATCAGGGTGCGTTGTGTTCGGGGGAATACGGTAGCTCCAACCGTGGCCGTGTAGCGAAGCGAAAGTTGCAGCTGCTTGAGCATTTCGCAAACTACCGTAGCACCCTCCATTTCGAAGTAGTTTATCCCGACGGTAAATGGCTGTGGCCTCCTTCGGCATCAGTGTATCCCGACGATATATGACTGTGGCCTGCGGACGTTTCTATCCCGACTGTAAATGGCTGTGGCCCGCGACCGGAAACATGGATCTGATTCCATAAGGAAAGTGGGCTCCCTACCTTCTTTCCCTGAATCAAACGTACGGTCACTATGGCTGTTTGTAGACCGAATATTGCCCCAAGTAAGCTATAAAATGACCGTACGTTCTATTCGGGAGAAGACGGTAGTGTTGACGGCCGCGGCGGTTTGACGAGTGATTTACCGGAACTGCAGGCCAATCTGCTGCAAACCCAAACACTCCCTTTTTTTTTTCAAATAACCGAAACACTTTCGAAACACTCGACAGCACCCAAATTCCCCTCGCACACAATGATACAGCGCAGCTGTCCTCTGTGCCAAAACCTCTTTCCTGAAGCACGACGCACTACACGTGAGCTTATGCTCTCTCTGTGATTATGTCATTATTATTTGTTATTTATTTATGTATTTACATCTATACACATATATATTCGTTTAGGTATGCTTCCCGGCGTCTATCGATGTTCCGCCGCCACTCAGCACACATCTCACGCTTTTGTTCGCCTGCACTCCGGTCCTGTTCCCCTGAACCGGCGTTCTTTGCCTATTGCGTAAACCCGACTGCGTCTGCAGCGAGTGCTCCGCAGATAACACCCTCACTCCCTACTTCCTGCGTCACCAAGACCGATTCTCTGTTCCTCGTCTCGAAGACCAATTCTCTGCTCCTCGTCACAGAGTCTCTGAGCGACTCTCTCCGAAGCTACTGCGCTCTGAAGCTGACTGACAATTCGCGTTTCTCGGTCTCCCGTGACACAACGAAACAGTGAAATCGAGTCCGTCATTGCTAGTGACCTATGAAACTGACTGCCAACACGCGTTTCTCGGTCTCCCGTGACACCGACAAAACAACGTTGCTGATTAGACGACTTCTCTCCTTAGTCTCCTACTCTCACTTCTCCGCTCCTCATCACGGAGACCGATTCTCTCCGAAGCTACTAACGTGCCAAGCTGACTGCTGAAACTGACTGCCAACACACGTTTCTCGGTCTCTTGTTCCTCGTCAAGAAGACCAATTCTCTGCTCCTTGCAATCTTCTGCTCCTCATCACGAAGATATTGATTCTCTCCGATGCCTCTAGCTTATACCCGATGCCACTTCCAGGTTATACAGACATAATCACCCCGTGTTCTCTTCGGGGTTCTAGAACTTAATAGCATGGAAACTTGATCCTCTGCGCGGCCACCCCGCGTTCTATTCGAGGTACTAGAAACTCGTTAGAAACTTGCTCCTCTGCGCGGCCGTCAGTCTACTCGAGTGACTGGACGGGTGGGCGGGCGGCTGGCTTTCTGGCAGCGGGGTTGGCTGGCTTCGCGCGTTGAACGTTACGCAGGCTGAGGTTGGACCTCAACCTGCAGCATGATCGACGTCTCCGTTTCCAAGGCATCGACCGCCGTGTCCTTCAGCTGCATCAGGAGCTCGTAGCACTCTCCGAGCAGTTCCGCGCATACAGCCTGTCCCGCAGGAATGCGCGTTTGCGGCGATCCTGCAAACACACCTTCATGGCGATTCCTTTCAATGGCATGTAATTGTCCTTGATACTGCCGAAGCTCAGCCATCGTGTGTGGCTGATCCTTCACTTTCTCCAGCTTCTTCTTGATGCCGTTCAGTTGATTCACAATGTTCCGTACCTCTGGACTCAGCTCATGCGTCGTCTCTTTCAGCTTTTCGATCCGCCTGTAACACTCCGCCAACGCCGCTGAACACTGAGCTTGCCCTGCAGGGACATTGTCTTTCGAGCCAGCAAATATCCCGTCGGATTCGATCCGCCGTCGATCGATCGCGTCCACCATTTGCTGGTAGTGTTGAAGATCCTCCAACGAGTATGATTTGTCTCGTTGCATCTTGTCCAGCTTCCTGGCGATTCCCTTTAGCGTCTTGTAGATGTGGTTCACCTCCGCGTTCATCTCTGAACTTGTGTCCATTAAACTGCCGATGAGGTCGTAGACGGCGTCCATCAGCTCGCGCATTGCCCCCTGGCCCGGAGGAATGTTTCCCACCTTGAGGGAACCACCGAAAATGCCGTCCGCTCTCTTGCTGTCTATTGCATCGACCATCTGCTGATACTTCCTGATATCGTCCGCCGTGTGCGGCGTCTTGTCCGCTCGCATCTGCAGCAGTTTCCTTCTAATTCCCGCCAAAGTCTTGTACGTCCCGACCAGGCTTGGCGCCAAGTGGGACGGCACCTCGTCAATGGACTGTTGCCCGTGACCCTCCTCGCCAGTAGCCGCACCGGCGGCGCCAGCCGCTATCTCTGCCACTGCCCTGAGACTGCCTTGCACATCCCTTCCGCCACCAGTCACCGCTGCTGGCTCGACTGCTTCCGTTCCTCCCGCTGGCGCCTTTTCACCAACTGATATCCCAGTTTCTTCCTTTTCAGTGTGAACATCGTGCTGTGGCGATCGCTCGCCAGATGCCCGCACCTGCTCCGACTCGGACGCCATTGCTTCCTTCCAGCTCTTACGGTAGTCCCCGTACAATTTCCCTCCTTAGCACCGACAATCAAGGCTTCTATTTCCACTTTCACGGCGCCAAAATACCACGTATTAAATGTGCTCAGTGGATCGCCGGCTTTTGTTTCCACTTGCACGGCGCCGAAATGTGCTGAGTGGTCATCCGTGCTCACAGGGTTCCCGCTACCATCACCTTTTCTCCTCTCCTCTCCTCTCCTCTCCCCTCCCAGGTTGTAAATACCTCCCGCCGTTCTCGCCTCGGTAATTGCCGAGCAATCCTCCGCATCCTTACCGCCGTTGACTTCCTACTATATATATCGTCACATGAATATCAGAGCGCAAAGGCGAATAAAACAGGAGAAAACAAGAAAAAAATAATTCGTTTTCTTATCTTCTTTCTTACAACTCCCCCTGTTCAGAACCTCTTGCGTACAAGGCCGCCCACGTGGATGTAGGTTGAGCGGCGCCTGCCCCCACCCCCGTGTGTCATATCGACCCACTTGCACACAGTCAAAGGGCAAACAGGCAAAGAAAAGAGGAAGGGAACAGCCAAATACAACAAAACAGGGGCAACAAGCAAGCACCGCCCCTCCTTGATGACAAGTCCCACACGCAAGCACCGCCCCTCCTTCACAGGCCAAACGACGGGACAAGACCACCGAGGACAAAACGCTCGTCTGCAAAAAAAGAAAAATCCCAGATTACTATCTATATACAGCAGATAGCCTTGTTAGTCTATATATGTCGTCACAAATAGAACTGCCCGGTAAACCGTAGGCAGAGAGAGAGAAGAGGACAACAAACGAGGGGCTGTGATATATATAGGCCCCGCTGACTTCTCGCAATTACCTCCTCGGTCGTAAAATCACCTACCGTTGGGCCTACATATGCTCAGGGCGTTTCTTAGGGCAATTCACAATAGGACTACCTCGATTGAATTTCGCCGTTCAGCTGGTCCACGACACTGGTCCAAGACATTTAGAGAAGGTGAAGTGTTGTGAGGATGCTCAAACATCCCGATTGCGAATTTGCGACGTCATCCACTCCTTCCTTCCGCTGGTCCGGCGCGCTCACCACACTGGGACACTACCTCGCGAGTCCAGCCCGTGTTCCTGTCAGCCGGCCACTTTTCCTCCGGGCCGGATTATTCCCTGATTGTCGTAGCTGAATGGCTCACGCGTATGTAGCTGTTGATGACAGGGTCATTGCACCCCCGTTTGTGACGGCGCGATCGACCTGTCGCATCCTGTCATCACTCGCATCTCGCGGCAGAGCTTGGCTGGCCACGGTAGGCGAATGTGCCAGTTCGGTGCTGGAATAGGCAAATAGCAGACAGACGAGGGGAAAGTCCCGAGGGGGCCCTCTCGCATGAAGAATCGGATTCGCCTAAGCGGACCATAGGTTCTTCCCTATTATCTTTTCGGGAGACTCAAACACCATCCTGCAGGTCAAGATCAGTTGGCATTGCCACAGTCCGGTTGGTCAGACAACGGAAGTGCCAGGCTGTGCTCCTCCGCAGAGCCCCAAGGGGAATCTTGTGCCCACCCTAAGGGAAGGAGGGCCAGAACATTTACAGAAGCCCTGCTTTTCAGGTGGCCGTCAGGCCCTGAGCCCCGCGCCAGTTGGTTACATCCAAGCGCGGAGGCTGTGTGACCAGGACGCGTGCTGCCTGTACGCGATGTGGCTGGCGAGTGAGGTTGCAGCCAAGTCCGTCACTGCCAGGCCATGCACCACTGCACCCATCAGTAGCAGCAACGCCGACAACATGCCAGGCACAGATGATGGCAAAGCAGTTGCCGCTTGCAGGACTGCCATCGCTGCCACGTTCCTTTGGTTCATCCACTGAAGGAGCATGAACTACATCAGGAACGTGGAGTCGTCCCAATCGTCGCCACCAATCCCCGTGCGCACTCCGTCCATGGCACGGACCGCTCAGCACCGGTGCCAGCCGAAACAAAAACGACCAAACGCCTGTCAATTNTCCATCGGTTGGATGAGAAAATCAAATGAATCTTCCACTATACATGAAAATATACATTGTCGTGTGTGTGTATGTGTGTGTGTGTGTGTGTGTGTGTGTGTGTGTGTGTGTGTGTGTGTGACAGAGAGAGAGAGAGAGAGAGAGATAGGAGAGCAGGTAAGTCTCCAAGTGCACGGCCGACCTCATGGTACTTCCATCGATTTGATGAGCAAAATAAATTGAATCTACCGCTAGAACATAGAAATATACACTGCCACACTTTTTTTTTTTTTTTTTTTTTTTTTGTGTATGTGAGAGAGAGAGAGAGAAGAGCAGGTAAGTCTCCAACCGCGCGGCTGGCCTCACACTACATCCATCGGGTGGATGAGTAAAATCGAATGAATCGTCCACTAGACATGAAAATATACAATGTCGTGTGTGTGTGTGTATGTTTGTGTGTGTGTGTGTGTGAGAGTGTGTGTGTGTGTATGTATGTAAAAGAGAGAGAGAGAGAAAAGAGCGGATAGGTCTCCAAATGCGGGGCCGACCTCATGGTACTTCCATCGATTTGATGAGCAAAATCGAATGAATCTACTGCCAGAACACGGAAATATACACTGCCACACTTCTTTTTTTTTTCCTTCAAAAACCAAACCTCCCAGTCGTAGTCCGCCATGCGTGCATGCAGCTGGGCGAGTCGCGTTCAACAAATTTGCGCCATGTGGCACATAGCGTGTTTGAACACGTTTGAACGCGGCCCCCGATCGTTTGAACGTGTGCGTTCAACGCGTTAAGACGGTCTCATCGCCAACGTTGATTGCAGGTGTCGTTGTAATCTTAGTTTCCCAACTTTTGTAGCAGCCACAAACCATCTGTTGTGACAGCAGTTCAAGGACCTTTCAACCGGAGTAGCACAAGAAGTCCGAAGACCAGCAATCCGCAGGTTTGTAGTGGGAGCAGCTACATCTAAGTCACAACAAGAGCACGCCGCTCAGAGGGTCGGTAGTAACAACTCTAACGCTCAGCAGCAGCACCATGTAGCCACAACTTGAAACAGTAGCACTAACCTAAGGGACGCAGGCTATGCCCTGCCTGAATGCACAAATTGTTGTAGTCCCAACTGCAGAGGTTGGGTATGGCTGCAGCTGCAATGATAGCCTCCCTCTGCAAAGTACTTCAATCACGCCCAAATGAAAACCCAATGACGATAGTCTAAAATGCAGCAGTCGATGCTTAGAAGCACCCACCTCTGCAGTGGCACTTGCCCCAGCCGTTAAGTGGAATCAAACAAACAACTTCACCAACTAAGAACGGTCATGCACCACCACCCATAAAATCGAGAAGTGAGCTCAATCTATGAACCCTTGCTATGTCTGCACCTAGTGAGTGCGAACGACCCTTGCATCAACCCGATGACCAGCGGCCCGTAGCAGCAATGGCCCTAGAGCACGCAGCAGCAACCATAAGAGGGAAACAATGTTCATTAAGAGGTCATTGTCGCAGTAAAAAAATGGTCAGTCGCAGCATAAGCGGTCCCTTTTCCTTCTTCTTCTCGCCTTTTTTTCTATTTACCCTATCTACCTTTAACTCCTTTTTATACTCTATGTTTCATCCACAACCCCGAAATTAAATTAAAAAAATATATATATATATATATATATATATATATATATACATATACACAAGGTTGCCGACGTTCGGGACGGGCCAAACGCCCGAACCCAAACGCCCGAACGACGGGCCCCCCTTTAGACACGTTCGGTCGTTCAAGCCGAACGCGGAAAAAAAAAAAAAAAAAAAAAAAGGCCATCGAAAACCCACTATCCCAGCGGTGGTGAGAGAACCGCCAGGATTGAGGGTTTCCCCGTTGGGCCGCTCCATCTATTGGTGGGGAGCAACACCTGCTGGGAACCGGGCCCAGCGTCCATTTATAACAAGATGCAGCTCCGAAAGAAACCTTTGTTAAATCAGGGCTGTGAAAACTTGAACCATCTACCCGGGGCATTTCCATTTGTCAATTGTCAAGGGACGGAGATGGCGGTTGCGCACTTCCGACCTTTGGAGATGGCGATGGCGATGTCCGCGGCACAACGCAAGGACGGAACGACGGGCTTGACAGTGTTCCAACAGCCAGGAACCACCTACCTATGTGTCTGCTCGCAACGGTCACATCGACCTTTCACCGGTGATGAGGGGTGGGTCCCTCACTCTCAGAAGGCTGGGACTGGATGCAGCCGTCCTGTAGGACGACATCTGGCCGCACAAGGTTTCGCACACGTCGCACTGCGTCACCCAAACCTGGTACCCTCGCGTGTTCCGTCGGTCCAGCGGGCGCCTCCCGGACAATAAAAACTTTCCCTTTTAGCCACCCCCCACGGCCCTTTCCTATTTCGGAAAGAAATATCGCAGCTTTGCCGCGAAACGGCCTCCGCGGTGGGATCCCAGAAAAATGAGTTTCCAGCTTTCCAGAAACTCTTGCCCTCTCTTTGCGGCCGACCGGCTTTTCCATCCACACCGCAGTGGGGTCCCCACCTTAGTCAAGGCCCGCGCAGCCAGCCTTTGCAGCCAGCCTTTGCAGCCAGCCACTTAAGGAAAGTGTCTGGCTCGAGATATGGTTAATGGAAGACCCAAAATTCGGGGGTTTTCGCCACATCACCACAAACAATGTCCTCAAACACTTCGCGAACAAACAATGCAGGATCATAATACAAACATCAAAAAATCAAACAGGCAAAAAAAAAAGAAAAAAAAAAATCTCAAAAACACTATAAAACCCTATTCGGAGTAGCTTTCGGAGTTCGCCAAATGATTCTCCAAATTCGGTGTTTTTACCAACTTTTTTGGTAGTAAATTGTTACTGGTCCATATACGTTGAAACTGAATACAAATATATTAACCATTAGTGGAGAAGCGACATACCTAGTGTGTCGTGGAGGTTTGCATGGGCAACGTCTTCATGTCCATCGGTCTGCTGTTGAAGTACGACTGGTTGCATCACGTAGTCTAGGCTAGTATAGGTGTCGTGAGATTGTAGTTGGGTGCCAAGCGCCATGCAAAAGACGGATGTCGAGCACATCGGTCCCCTAGAGGGAACCTTCCCAGCCGTGTCACGCAGGATTCGGCATGTCGCAAAAACCTGGGGAGGTTCGCCGCTCCGACCAGCTGCTCCAACCATACCTCCATTCTACGACAAGATAAGGTTCCATGAGGTACAGCTTACCTCCACCCGTGGGACTTGTCACCATCCCTTAGGTAGGCGTATCCTCACCGAGCTACCAGTCCATACTAC